CTAAACCCCCCTAAACCCTAGACCCTTAATCGTTGATTTGGCTTAGGTAGCCCTGGCTCTCGCTTTGCCTTCTGCGCATGCACGGCTAGGAGAAGCCCCAAGGACTTTTTGGGGAGACTTTGGGGCTGAGAGCTTGGGGTTTAGGGTTTAGGGTTTAGGGTTTTAGGATGTTTTAGGGATTAAGGTTTGGGTTTAGGGTTTAGGGTTTTAGGGATTAAGGTTTAGAGTTTAGGGTTTAGGGTTTAGGGGTTTAGGGTTTAGGGGTTTAGGGTCTACTTGTAGGGTTTATTTATATGAAGGGTCTGAAATCTAGAGGTTCATGTCAGGAAGTCTGCTTCGACTTCGGCGGAGGTTAGGTCTATGTGTTTCATGTAAAGACTTACAGCCTTGCGTGCCTTTCGTGGTTGCCGCACCGTCTTGTCGATGTCTCGTCGAGGGCAAGCATTCAGCATTGGCACCCGCGTCGCGATCTCCGGATCTGCAACGAAGTCTTGACCGCCGGGGTTCCGACTTAGGAATGAGGGCCTTTGACTGGTTGGTGAATCCTCGCCTGACTCGGAGCCCCCATCTCCACAGCTGCCCCTGCAGAGGAACGTGACTGGCCCATCGCCGGAAGATCTCCTCCCCGGCGGGGCAGCACGCCGGGAAGAGTATTGGGAGAACGCGACATTGCGATTCAACGTGGACCCAAGCATGTCGGAGCTCCAGAACATGCGCAGGCCTTGTGCTCTCAACGATGTTAGGTGACTCCACCATACCAGCAGCAGTCCCGAGCCCCACCTTGAAACAGGCGTGCCGGCTACGAATATTTGGCCACCACGACCCGGTATGGCGACACCTGCTGTGCCTCCTGCGGTTCCATCGACACAGCCCGACTAGTCCGGGGCACAGGCAGGTGCTGCAAAAAGCATTCTGATGGCTGAGCCATCCCGGGTGTAGAGCTACAGGGTACATGCAGAGCTACCGCACGAGCCATGCATCAAATGCATGCAGGCTTCTACGCCGTGGCATCTGCCGAGTCCATGCAGGACCACGGCATCGGATACTCAGCAGCACAAAGCGTGGTGTCTAGACAGGTGGGGACCCTCGAATGCAATGAGAACAGAGGGGTGTTTCATATAGTTTGGTATGGTATAGTATAGTATTGTAGAGTACAGTATAGCATAGCATAGTATAGTATAGGGTAGTTTAGTACAACATAATACGACATAATACAATATCACACAATATAATACAGTATAGGACAATATGATGCAATAAAATACAAAATAATACAAAATGACATATCCTAGGGCCTCAGTCAGCCAAAGTCCAGATGAAGAAACTAAACCTCTTTGACCCGACGCAGATGTTGATTCGCCTCAGCCGAGTGGGTAGCATTTTAAGCCTGTCGCCCATCTTAGGGTTTAGGGTTTGGGGTTGAGGGTTTAGGGTTTAGGGTGATATCCAGCAAATTTGAAGGCCTCTGTCTTACATCTGATGTTCCATGCAAGGCAAGACTCCAACGCCCAAAGACCAACCCTTGTGTTCCTGAATACTGTGCTAAGATATATCTCCGAGCCGGGTGCTACTTATGAATGCCCCTGTATTACACTTATCCAGCATTTTAAGATATACTTCAGAGCCTCAGAGCCTTATACTACTTATGAAGGCCCCTATTCAAAAATCCCTGAGACCGGAGCGGGACAGTCTGCTCGCGCAGAGGAGATGGGCACTATTGCACGCAGGACGCCTCCTCGAATCGTGGAACCCAAGGACATGGGGGGATGGCTGGTAGTCTAGCAATACATCAGCCCAAAGCCATGATGATGGCAAACCTGCTAAATAACATGATAAGCCCTCCTGTCAATGTGGCTTTAATTACCTTGCAGCTGATACGGAATTGTGGATAGTGGTTTGCAGTAGTTGCTTCTGTGTATGTCTTGGGTTGCAGTGGTGCTTAGTCTCTAGGCTCGTATCCGAACCCAGTGAGCCGTTAAGTAGCGGCACTGAGGGTGCTTAAAGTATCATGGGACTTAGTAACTAGGGTTATAATTAAGGTAACTATACTTCTAATTCCCAATTAAGGTACTTATAACCCTATACTTACTAAGTCCCATGATCCTCTCAGTGTTCTCAACTCTACAGCCCTTCGGCCAGGAATGGGATGCCTGTCTTGCGCCAAGGGCAAGTTTCTGCCGGCCCACCCCTTTTCCTACCCTCTCTGGGCGCAGCCGGGCGCCGGTATCTTCGAGCGGGAGCGGGCATAACTTTCTTTTCATATTTGCTGTGGTGGGGTAGTGTTGTTGCCACTCTTCTTGTTGCAAGGCCAGTCTAGATGTTTCATGGGGATAGTTATTGAGAGTTGGCCTGGGTCTGGACTAAGTACATCTTCATAAAGCCAATTGGACATGGTGCCTGCATCTTGCCGCAGTTGCCGCTTCAGCATGCATCTACCAGATTGTCTTCAAAACGGTCCCTCTTTAGTTCTGTATACTGTTACCTTGACGCCTCATTCCTGTGGAAGCTTGTCAGTATATCAGTCCGTGTACTCTACATTGAAGCTTGTCCGTCTACCATGCGCCTGAAAGTAAATGTGGGCTGCGCTGATTCAATCTGTAAGTTTAAAAGTGCCCGCCAGCTCTGTCGAACTCAAACCACCGATAAGTGTACCATGAGGGTACAGCAGTGGTAGTACAGGAGGTTACTTTAGGGGCACTAGAAGGGTTACGGTATGGTTACTATAGAATTATGATTATAGGGGTTACGATGGGGTCCTTAGGTGTTACTATGGGGTCCTATAGGGTCACTTAAGGGGCTGCTGTAAAGGATTACTGGGGCTAATACGGGTCCTATAACCCCTAGACCCTAAACCCGAAACCAATAGTCCCCTAAAGGTTACCAGAGGGATGCTATAATGAAGCTTACGATCACGATCAGGAGATCAAAATCGTGGTCGCGGACACTTGCCCGCATCATGGCAATGAGGCCCGGGCTTAGGATTTGTGGGGTTCAACATGATCTTGGATTGCAGTACTGTAGGGGCCTAAATGATTACCAATACTATTTTGGGGGTTCCTTATTATACTTATAGTATAATGGGCCCCAAAACCTTATTCTAATTATTAAGGCCCCTCTATGATTTCTGCATGATGCAGTCATGATAGCTCGGGGAGAGATAGTGGAACCCGGAACCATGGCCCTGTGCCAGTAAGACAGAAGCATACCTAGAGTCTCCATTGGAGTTCCCTTTTTTGGTTTAACCAAGTATATTTAATGGCTGCCGCCAATG